ATTGGGGGAAGTTGATTATTGATGCCAATGTCATGTGTTCATTTCCTGAATTCAGTTTCTTCAAACACTTCAAACATTATAAATAATTCTAGCGGATTGGAATGAATATCACGTACGAGCAAAATAGACAAACAGTGTACAAAATCTGTTCGCAAGTAATAGAGCGCGATCTCGTCTGAAATAGCATACCAGGCGAGGGTAATGATATATTCATATTCAGTGTTTAAAATTAATAATTTCGAAATTTTTCGGATTTTGGAAATATGCATATGGGAAATGTATAATTTATTTATTTCTAACTGCAGAAATATGCATGTGAAATGTATAATCCCACATTATAATATATTATATGAGGTTATTATGGGGATACCGAAAAGTATGCACGAAGACAGTACAGCGGAAGTTTCGACTGGCGTGCAGGGGAGGTCTATGCGACAGTGTACTGTCTGAGTGCATACTTTTTGGTATCCTCGTAATAACTTTATTATTATACATACTTTTTTCCTAAGGATGCATCATGGGAATGCCGAAGTACAAATAGTTTAGAACAGATTGAGCGAACTTTGTATGGAGTCCGGTCAAACTCGGGGCGGGGACTGCCATGTTTGTTTTTATTAGAAGACGCTTACGCGCGTAATCATTCTATATATGGAATTCGCATCCCCTAATATGGTAGAATGAAAATACCCAGTGCAATACCGCCAAATTACGGCACACTGTAACTTATGGTGTTACGGTAACAGATAATATACGTTATTGTGTATGTTATTTACAGAATCTACAATAGAGTTGATATTCTAAAATTGTATATTCTGGTGTATTGTATACTAATATACTAGTCTTTGTCTCCGCAGATCATCATATGCTAAACGGTTCGTAATGAATCCTAAATACTAGGCTAATTTAGATAAAATATTATATGTTGTTTTTGTTATCTGAGATTCGAAGCTGTGCAATACATACAGATTTATATAGACGCAAGATGATTTGTTGCACATATATTTCCTATATTATTATGTTAATCTCTTCAATTTCAATCACGTCACTTGATAAACTAAGAAAGCAATGAAATGAAGTGCAGTGAAATTGTATAGTTAAATAGCAGAAAAAAATGTAATACAATAAATAATAATAAATATAACAAACCATTTCCATCATAGGGTGCAGAGTGATAAAACAGAACTATGACATTCGAAATGCAACATCAAGTGAATAATGAAAATTACACTTTTCGTCCGTTTTCCGACTTATCTATGAATAGTACTTCACAACAACTAATAAACTATTCTTCACAGTTTCTATTTAAAAATGTTTCTTTGCTTTAAGAGCAGTTCAAAAAGTTATATTTCATTTGTAAAACGTACACGATATAATATGACATGTTTTTATCTACAACATTCTTAGTTTGACATTTTATACAGTATTACCACTATGTGCATTAAGCCCGGCGTGTTAAACTACCCCACTTACCCAAACCCAAAAATAAACAAACAACCACCCAATATCTACCAAAACCTACCAAATTATTGATATATTTTCAAGTAAATTGTTTACAATTTAATGTTAAGAATGTTATTTCATATTAAAATGCAAGAGTATATTTTTTACAATTTAACGGCATTAGGGCTATAACCTCGTTACATTTGTATGTTTTATGAATTGTGTAATAGAAAACTACCTTGTGTATTCTAAATACAAAATGAAAAGTTTTTTGAATATTGAGAATTTTAACAATTTGAATAAAGAAGA